GCACTGTGATCACTAAGAAGAGAAATGGCACCACATGTTATAGGTCTCTATGTCTGGAGTCTGCCCTTTTAATATTCCAAGCTTTCCTTGGCTGAGCAATTTAAATGTATAAAAAAGAGCACAGGAAGAGCTGTATTCCCTGCTTCTTGGGAATGAAAAGTGATCAGACTGCTGGTACCTTTGGGTGTTTTCCAGGATCCATGTTAGGAGCAGGGAGACATCAGGTCTCAGCCTGGATGAGGTTTCCCTCAACTCTCTGGGGTGCTGCAGAGTGTTCTCAGTTTTCTGAGATGTGGGGCTGGAGCAGACTCTCACCTTGTGCCTTGAGCTCCTCCTAGGGAGTATTTTCCTCTGAAGTCTCTGCCTTTCTCATCCTTGTCCTTGGATGGAGCTGTGCTGATGAGGTCGATGCCTCAGGTTTTAGCTTTTCTGTTTTTCAGACTCTGTACTGCTTTAGTGTGAGCTTCCATTAGGGGATGCTGAGCTCTCTTCACAGAGCAGGGAGACAAAACAATTCCTTCTCTAGCTGGGGACCAAGGACAAAATGATCCAAATCTCAGCCCAAGAGCACAAACAACGTGGGCTGGAGAGAGAAAAAACAAGCAGGATGGGACTGGATGGGCTAAAGCTGGAATGGGACAATGAACTCCAATATGCAAATGGATCAGAACTGATCAAAGTGAGAGACCCTGTCACCAGTTGTCCATTTTGTGACCATTTTGGTTCATCTTGGGTGCAGCCCTGGCTGGGCTCTTGTGCTGCCCAAGGTGGATCCATGGAGGAGATCCTTTTAATAAATCCCTACTTTATTCTGTAACTCTGTCTGGCCTCTGTTCTAGGGCAGCCTGCACAAGGCATCAAGGTCGAGTAGGAGCTGATGTGTGAGCAGCCCTTTGAACCAGGGCAGCTCCTCTGGCACCAGCACTCGTTCCTAAAGGGGATGAGCTCCCAAACAGAGCACCAGGAGGAGCCAGTTTCTTATGGAGGCACCACCCTGCTCCTCCCCTGAGGGAATTCAGTCCTCTGCTCCTCATCCCCCAGGGAATTCAGTCCTCTGCTCCTCATCCCCAGGGAATTCAGTCTTGTGCTCTTCATCCCCCAGGGAATTCAGTCCTCTGCTCCTCATCCCTGAGGGAATTCAGTCCTCTGCTCCTCAGTCCCAAGGGAATTCAGTCCTGTGCTCCTCAGCCCCAAGGGAATTCTGTCCTGTGCTCCTCAGCCCCCAGGGAATTCAGTCCTCTGCTCCTCATCCCCCAGGGAGTTCAGTTCTCTGCTCCTCATCCCCCCGGGAATTCAGTCCTCTGCTCCTCATGCCCGAGGGAATTCAGTCCTGTGCTCGTCATGCCCCAGGGAGTTCAGTCCTCTGCTCCTCAGTCCCAAGGGAATTCAGTCCTGTGCTCCTCAGCCCCAAGGGAATTCTGTCCTGTGCTCCTCAGCCCCCAGGGAATTCAGTCCTGTGCTCCTCAGCCCCAGGGAATTCAGTCCTGTGCTCCTCAGCCCCAGGGAATTCAGTCCTGTGCTCCTCATCCCCCAGGGAATTCAGTCCTGTGCTCCTCATCCCCCAGGGAATTCAGTCCTCTGCTCCTCATCCCCCAGGGAATTCAGTCCTGTGCTCCTCAGCCCCAGGGAATTCAGTCCTGTGCTCCTCATCCCCCAGGGAATTCAGTCCTCTGCTCCTCAGCTTTGCCTGGGGAAATGAGCTGTGCTCACCGTTTTCCTCTGGAAAACGTGGTTTATGTGGAGATCCTCAGAGTTCCATGTGCAGCTCCAAGCTCTCCTGCTCAGGGCTCCCTTAAAACCCCGTGGGCAGGCAGGGAGCAGGAGATGCTGAGGAATGAGTGGGTTTTTGCCTAACAAAAAGCAGCGTTTGAGATGGAAGTGGCAGGGGGTGGGAAGGTTAATTTTGTTGTGGTGAGCTAGGTCAGGCATGGAAGGAGAGGCATTCAAGCCAGGAGCTTTCCCTCCCAACTCAGAGTGGGAATTTCACATGCTTTTAATTATCAATGCCTTCAAGCAGAATACAACTCCCAGTCATTCTGGCTCATGGAATTAAATTTAAATGTATAAAAAATAAGCATCAGTCCCCCTTCAAGGCCAAATTTTGCTAAATATCAGTTTCTCTTTGTTTACAACTCTTAAGTATCCATGGCATATCCCTGTTTATTTGCAGAAGAGTTCTTGACTTTGCACATAAATTTTGTATAGCTTTTCATACTACTGATATATTACAATAAAACCTGTCCCCAACTGATAAATTTAGTATATAAAAGTACAGACAATTCAACTGATTCCTAAAATGAGTTTAAATGCTTCTCACTCTCTGGATTATTTTGATATCTGGCCTAGATAAAGTTGGTATTCATCTGTTTTAAAAATATTTTTTAGAGAGTATTAAATTCAAATATTGTGTTCAGAAGCAGCTTCGGACAACAATATTTCTGCTTTCTTGAATTTTTTATTCACTTTATAGAACATCATTGTTCTGATGGAGCGAGGAGCTAAGAAATTTGGGGTGAAGAATGGTCTATTTTGACCCCACCTGTGCCCAGTTTGGGACCCCCAGCATAATGATGTGGAGTTGCTGGAGTGAGTCCAGAGGAGGCCATGGGGATGCTCCAAGGGCTGGAGCCAGGCTGGGAGAGCTGGGGGTGCTCACCTGAGGAGAGGAGAAGGCTCCAGAGACACCTCAGAGCCCTTCCAGTGCCTAAAGGGGCTCCAGGAGAGCTGGAGAGGGACTGGGGACAAGGCATGGAGGGACAGGACACAGGGAATGGCTCCCACTGCCAGAGGGCAGGGATGGATGGGATATTGGGAATTAGGAATTGTTCCCTATCAGGGTGGGCAGGCCCTGGCACTGCCCAGAGCAGCTGTGGCTGCCCCTGGATCCCTGGCAGTGCCCAAGGCCAGGTTGGACATTGGGGCTGGGAGCAGCCTGGTGCTTTGCTCATGTTCAGGTCGTGTGTTTGAGTCCCTGAGTTCAGACTGTCCTGGGCTTCTTCCCCTGCTCCTTCCCCTTCCTTGCCCAGACTGTGCTGTGTGTGCCAATGCTGCCAAAACCCCTGTAGCCACATTGCAGGGAAGAGGTAAATATATTCCTTGGCTAATTATCTCTGCCATGTGAGAGCAGGAGCTTTTGCAGATGAGGTGGTTTTCATTCATGTGTGGTTTTTGTTCAGTTTGGGTCTTAATTTAGGTCTGTACCACATAGGATGAAGACAAATCCATGTGCATATGTTAAAGTCTGACCTTTGGTTTGCTCTCTTCACTTGCTAATGTGTTTTAAAATATTTTAATATATAGCTTCCCAGGCCCCAGATCAATAACCCAATGGGTCTGAAATGACAGAGTGCTACGATATTCCCCTTTAATTTAAACATTATTAGCTGATGAAGGTTATGATCAATATGCTAGGGGAAGATAAATTAATTGATATCATCCTTTCAGGATGATAAGAGGCCTATTGGAGGTGGGATGTAACTAATGAAGCTGCTTCTTCATATATATGAGCCATTCTTTATCCAATGTATTCTCACTAAATCATGGTTATGCCATCATTCATTTACATGAAAAACATAAGCCACAGACCAGTTTGTTATTAAAATTGCATTCATTTGAGAAGAAACTATGCTTACACAGTCCCTGCCTGTGTTGTAATGTAGTGAGGGAAAATAATCTTGGAATTTACATAATTGTCTTTTTGTGTTTGCTGAACAAGACAGACTGGGTTCTGTTGGCTTAATTCCAAGGAGTTTCTGGGGAACTTTTTAAGGAGATGCCAGTAAATGTCACTGGCTTTGGTGGAGGTGCTGCAAGTGACTTCAGATTCCTTGGCACAAGTTTTGTGAAGTGCTTCCCTTCATGAAGAAAACTGCATGCAAGGAAGCTGAATTTAGTTAGTGGCATTTTTGATTAGCCACTACACAAGTACCTATTTCCAAAGACTGAAATTTTGATTGGTTTTTAATTTGTGACTCAAAAGGTAGCAATACATTTTATTTTTATGTATTTATGACATAAAAAGAGCTCTTTCCAAAGGCTTTAGCTGAATTAGCAGCATGAGCTCAAGTTCCAGTGTGTGATGCGATGAATTTCTGAAATGGTTTGAGTTGTTTAAATTGAAAGATTGTAGGAGAGGTTTGGAAGTTGCTGCATTCCACATCAGTTCTGTTTGATCTTTTTTATTATGGGTCTGCCAAGCTGTGTATAGAGATGTTAATGGCTCTGATCCCTGTATCTGTTTGATAAATGCTGCTTCTCCTTCCATGCTGAAGAGAATGTCTTAATAAATTGAAAAAAAAAAAAAAAAAAAAAGGCATTTTTCCAGCTGTGCTGCTGCTGTGAAGGAATAAAAGCTAAAATTAGAAATAATGATACAGCTTCTTTCCATAAAGAATTTCACTGGGATGTGTGGTACCACCAATCCAGGTATTTATTGGCTGTCATGAACCCTTTATCAGTCCTAATATTCCAGTTCTCTTTGGTTTGGGCTCCACAGTGGATTGCCATGGTGCAATGGCTGATAAAAAAAGGGAAATCCATCTTATTCCTTGGCAGCAGAGACCAGGTATCTCCTGTCTGCCAGGAGAATATCCCAAAGAAGAATGGAAAATATTTGCTACCATGAGCTTTTATGAAAAACATAAGCCTCAGATGAGTCTCTCTCATCTAGGACTGATGAGCTTTGTTAGTGTGGGGTCACAAACACAGAGAGGACTCAGTACAGCATTCCTGGTATTGCTTTTTGTCATTTTTTCCCTGAGTCCTCTGGTGCTCACCTGGTGGAATGAGACTTCTGGAGTCACATTTTCCATGTGGAGAACCCAGCTGGAGTCTCCCTTGGAGCGCTGTGGAAAACCAGTGCCCTTCCCCTTCCCTGCAACCCACTCAGCTTTTGGAGCAGGCTTTGGTGGTGCCCCCCCAGTCTGTGTGTGTTGTTCACTGTGTGTTTTCTCCCTCTGTGTGCCCTGCCTGACCTGCCTGGCTGTTCTGTCTCCCCTCAGTTGCCCAGAAGATCGTTTCCACCAAGAAGAAGCAGCAGCTCTCAATCGGACCCTGCAAATCTCTGCCCAACTCTCCGAGCCACTCCTCCGTGTGTTCTGCCCAGGTTTCTGCCGTACATATCAGCCAGGTACAGACAAAATCAATGCTTGGGAAAGGAGCTGATAAGCTGCTTTTCATCTCTGATGTGTTTCCTGCCATTTCAAGTGCTCTCCTTGCTGCTCGAGAGGTAGTTGCCATTTTATTAATGCTGTCAGTGGTCTATAGTTTGAAGTGATATTTGGATTTTTTCTTTAAGAAACAAAGTAGCAAAGCAGAATAATTTGGCTTTAAAGCCTGCTTGGAATTGATAAGCCTGCTTTGATCATTCTCATTGATACCCAGCAGCCTGCAGGTCTGGGTAGGCCAATCATTACAGTTGCAGGATTTGCTGTGCTGTGGTTCAACATCCCGTTGCTGTGTTTTTGGTGGTTACTCTTGTGCTGAGCTGGTGTATCCCAGTGGTTAGAGTGGTGGAATTTTACACTTGATGGTATTTTGAGAAATACATGGTTAATACCAACATTATGGTTAAAACCAACTTTTACCCATGTGCATTGCAGGCTCCCCTGTGTTTTCCTGACAATGCCCTTCCTCAGTGTCTTTGTTTTCTAGTGTCAACTGATCATCTCTGGGCTTGTCCCCAGCTGGGATGGATATAAACTGAATGATGTCAGGTACCCACAGCCATTCTGGTGTGGCTTTCAGTCTAAACTCAATAATGCACAGGTTATTTTGCAGTCCTGAGCCAGCCACGTGAGGATTTGTTTTGCTGTGGACCTTTATCCCACAGAGTGCCTGCTTTTTGGCAGAAGGGAGTAACTTGTCCCACTGGGTTATCACCCTAAAGATGCAGGTGCCAGTTTAGTCTTCAGAGTTCTCTGCTGTGACTTACTGAGTCCTGATCTGACCACAGTCACTGTGGCTTTTGCTGATGAGCCCAAAGAGAATGCTGGAGTTCAGACCCCCCTTTCTAAAGCAGGTGCTGACTGAGGTGTGTTGCTCCTCAGAAGAGCCCTGGCACCTTCTGGTGAAGGACAAGTTCTCCCATGGGAGAGGCTCTCCCCTTCCAGGTTTTCTCTGACCAGTTCATGGCCACAGGCCCTTGGAACTCGCCCTCTGGCATTTTTTGTTAATGAAGCTTTTTTTGATGAAGGAAATAAAATATCTGGGGGCTCACTTGGGTAGGATTTGCTTCCTACCCAAATCTGGTTTGAAGGTCAACAGCAAACACCAAATTCTAGACCAGTACCATCACCTATGCAGCAAACTTCTTGCCAGTGATAAGAGCTGTTTGGGAAAATCAAGGCAAGGTAGCTTTTGTGATAAGGCTCCCTAGATTCCGTTTCAATAAAAGTGAAATAATGTTCTTTACTGCCTTTGGCAGGTGTCATAATTACCTAAAGGGGCAATTGCATCACCAGTCAAAGATGTCTCTCTTCTGAGACTGATGTCATGCCTAAAAGTAGAGGCCAGCAATCTGTTTCATGTCTTATCTCCTTTGTGCTACACTTAAAGGCAGTATGACCTTGTTTAAGGGAAGGAAGCTGAATCCTTATCCCAGACTTAAAAGAACTTTGCAACTGCAATTCCAAGTTTAAGATGATCTGGGGCAAGATTTGCCATCTCTGATCTTGGCTGGAAGACTGGCTGGTGTCTTGCCCTTTGGAACATCTCTCTTGGCGTAATGATGTTCCTCTGAAGATTTCCTCCATGAATCAACCCCGTTAGCGGTGCAGTGCCCTGCCACTTGCATTCTCCACAGGAGCAGAGGCCTTCAGAGGCAGTGCTTGCACACAGCACTTCAGCTCAAGTCAGATATTGTTCCATCTCTGGTTGGATCATCCCGGGGATTGAACTCCTGCAAACTCTCCAGATGACTCTGCAGTCAAAAGCTTAGGCTTTAGAGAGAGAGAAAAAGAAAGGTATTGAGTGTCACCTTAACCAGAGTAGTCCTTAGCATACCTTGGGGGGAATTCTAAGGCTCAGCACCATCCAGGGCTTCTGTGGTTTCAGTCTGCCACGTGGGACAGGGCTTGCAGTAGTCTGGTCTGGTGGAAGGTGTCCCTGCCCATGGCAGAGTGTTGGAATGGGATCAGCCTTGAGGTCCCTTCCAACCCAAACCACTCTGGGATTCTGTGGCAGGCTCGTCTGTGTGTGTGGGTGCTTCTCCATCTGCATGTCCAGGAGTCTGAGGTGGTGCCTGCCTCAGTAAGATCCCTTCAGAAAATGCTCTCAGGAGTAGCTATAGTTATGTATTTCCTGAGGCCTGTCCCACACAGTAAGATGCTTCCTATTCCAAAGACAAAATCCACTTTTCTTTGTAGTAGATGCTGCTTAATTCTCCTTCTGACTTAGTTTTTAGCATGTATGTCAGTCAAGGGGAAGGTTTTCCTTGAAAACCCTTTCAAGTACCTCAGGTACCTCTGTTGGCTTTCAGGGCAGCACAGAACACATGGAAAGAATTTTATTCTCAAATCCAAGGATTATCATTCATGAGCATGATGGACAGAGCTGTTGTATACTCTGTCAACAAGAGGGATGGTGGAACATTGCTTGCATTCATGTATTCCAGTCACAGCCCACTGTCTGGCTTTTTGGAACACTTCAAGAGGTAGACTGAGCTGTTTAGAGGGAAAGAAATGTTGTGCAGTGGATTGAAGGCCTTTTATTGGCCACAGGGCATCTTGGAATAGGTCTTTAATTTACTTTTTACAAGTACAGACCAGTCACTTCAGAATCTCTCTGCTCTGCATATCTATCCCACTTTTCATTCCCACATTCCCCTATGCCTTGACAATCTTCTTAGGCATGATATGCTTGTATACCATGCTAAGTCTAATTTCAAAGAAGAATGAGTTCCCTTTTCCCTCACAAAACTCCACAGAGCCATTCCTTTTCCCTAAATTCATCCTGCTGCTAGAGGAGTTGCTTGTCCTTTATAGCTAACATATCAGGTGTAAGACATTAAGACATTAACTTAGCAGAATAGTGCCAATAAAAACACTTCCAAAGGGCTGTTTCCTCTGCCCAGCCCCTGGAAGTGGAGATCATCTGCTTCCCAAACCATGAGGCCGCTCAGGCCCACCTTTGGTCCTCAGTGCCTCTGTGTGGGGGCTGGATAACCTGCTCAGGAGTTACCTGCAGCTGGGCTGGGCATTGCACTGTTGTAAAAACAGCTGGAAAAGCCTCTGGCACAATAGCTGCTGTTGCTGTTTGTGTGGAAGGCTCCAGGCCCCTCTCCAGACAAATGGATGTGCAGATTCCAGCCAGGAATCCCCAGCAGTGAGCTGCAGGTTTGAAGGTAGAGATGGAAAGATTGTTTTACCAGTGACAATAATTCCTAGAAATCTGCAGTCTGGATATGTTTTCACACTGGCTGCCTTTCCTGGAATTCAGCTGTTACATTCTGCTGTGAGAGGAGATTGGAAATGGCACCATGTTTCCATGTCTGCCTGGTCTCTGTGCATTCCTCTAGGACAGAGGGACTTTAGTCACCCTTTGGTGAAGGAATTTTCCTTGATATCCAATCTGAACCTCCGTTCCGTCTGCTCCTGTCCCTGTTCCCTGGAGCACAGCCCGACCCCCCGGCTGTCCCCTCCTGGCAGGAGCTGTGCAGAGCCACAAGGGCCCCCTGAGCCTCCTTTGCTCCAGGCTGAGCCCTTCCCAGCTCCCTCAGCCCCTCTTGGGGCTCCATTCCCTGCCCTGGCCATTCTCCAGTGTCCCCTCAGTGTCCATCCCTGTGGACTGCAGTACCAAGAGTTGTGTTTCCTGGTCAGCAGTGTCATTCTCCAAGGAGATTTGCATTATTCCTGGGAAGGTCTGGAGCTTAACATCCACTACAAAGCTGCAGCTCAGGTGTGGCTGTCACACAAGCTCTTTCCTTACTACCTATTGTAAATCTGTAGTGAGGCATTATTCATGTTTGCACAATGTCTTCAGACAGTTTTTACTACAACATCATTGTCCAAAAACGTGAATTAAATTACTAAAAGCAAAGTGCAGTCATCTTGGTCATCCATTATTTCATTCTATGTGAGACCTGATTATTTTTAAGCTTTTTAGAAATTTTCTGGAATGTCAAAACTAAAACTAAACAAGGAATGATAATGTATTTAATGCCACATATTTCACAATCCTTTTGTATTTACAGGGTTGTTTCTAAGTAACCTAATATTTATCTAGAACAAGCATTTTAGATACCTCCCTGTGAGGGTGGGCAGGCCCTGGCACAGGGTGCCCAGAGCAGCTGTGGCTGCCCCTGGATCCCTGGAAGTGCCCAAGGCCAGGCTGGACAGGGCTTGGAGCAGCCTGGGCTAGTGGAAGGTGTCCCTGCCCATGGCAAGGAGTTGGAATTAGATGATCCTTGGGGTCCATTTCAACCCAAACCATTCTATGTTTTTTGCAGCCATTCTCTCTGGTTGTGTTTTTCATTGTTCCAGCCAGTGGCTTATTTTGAAATCACCTCAGAGTTTTATTTACAAAGTTGGAAATCCCCTGGGCTTGGTGTGTGAGCAGAGAAACATTGCCTGCAGGAGTTCTTTTATAGAAACTCTCTCTGTGTCTTAGGGGAATAGAATATCCAACAGGTTTGTGTTTTCCTTTAGGAGTTACTTATAAATCACTTAGAAATCCACGAGACAGCTGCAAAAAGTGTAAAATGATGCTATAAAATGATGAAGGATTTAAAAGGTAAAATTTTAGGGAATCCTTTATGTTCTACACCTGCAAAGTAGGCTCTTATGGCATAAATCTCAATTTTGTTAATTTCAATTTTAAAAAAATTAGATTTCCTTGACACCCTTCTCATCTCCAACACATCCAGTGCTTTGGGAACAAGCTGCTACAGAGACAGGAAAAGCAAATGTGGGGTAATTGAGGCCACTTCTTCCCAGCTTGTCCTGCTCATCTGTGCAGTGTTACCAATCTCCATGAGGACACTAGAAGTGATCATTCCTGTTACATCATTTCATCTCCTTTGTTTTGTACACATCTCCCAGTTCTGCTGCCGCTGCCTCTGGCACTTGAGAGTGTTGCAGGAAATGTCTCTGGCCCTGCCCTTGCAGAGCCTTCACCTCTGCTCCCTGCTTTGGGAAAGCTGCAGGAACCAGAAGAGAACTTGGAACATGCAGAGATTTCAGCTGGGGGCTGTGAGGGATTGTCTCCTGCTTTTCCATCCTCACTGGTTACAGCTTCAGATCCCCATCCCCAAGGAGCATGGGGGAAGTCCCAGGAGGCATCTTTCTCCTCAGGAATTCTGGAAATACTCTCTTACCACCTTTCCTCACTTCCTCCAGGAATCTTGACTGCTTTAAAGATGGCCTTTCCCCCTTCTCTGTGCATCCCAGACATTTCTTTTCCCTCCAGAATTACCTGTGAGTTATTGCCCAGCCCCTTCATCCACTGCTGCTCCTCTGCTGAGTTTTCCATCCCCAGGAGGCAGAATGTTCCCTGTTCCTCTGCCTCAGTCCCCCATCAGCACCCAGAGCATCTCCTCCTTCAGTGGTGTTTTTAGTACTTTAGTGCTTTTTTATGTCTTTTAAAGAAAAAAAATAATACTTTTTTCTTAATCACCTTTAGATCCTTTCCATTCTGTCTGGTTTCCTCACCTTCCTCCTTTCAGGAATTTGCTACCTCTGTTCATTTATTTGTTTTATGGGCTCAAAACTTTATTTCTTTCAGGACTAGGATGTAACATCACAGTTTTGGCTGCTTCAAATACATTGGAATATCTTACTCACAAGTTTTGTATCTTTGCACCAGTGGCTTCAGCAAATCCTGTGCAGGGCCAGGAGTTGGACTTGATTGTCCTCGTGGGAGAGCCTGTGATGCTTGGAATATGTTGGGATTTACTCAACCCCTTGGTAGCCATTTTACAACCCTGAATTATTTTCATTTTCTTGATCAGCTCTCAATAATCTGGTATCTCCAGAGTAGGTTTAACTCCATGGCACTGGATATTTACAATTTAGTTTAGTAGAAATCCAGATTTGGAAGGTTTTCCCCAATGTTTTGTTTACTCATACACTAGAAAACAAATGAAACTGTTGCTACCCAGTTAAGGTTGTACTGTGTAGAATGAAAACGTGCCTGCTGTATAAACAGAGCTATCTGAGTATTCAAAAAATAATGGTGGGGGAGATGTCCAAAGGCTTGGAATAGAAATGTGTGGAAAAGTGGCAGTAGGGCAGCCCTGCTGAGCCCCTGAGCCCTGGCTGCACTTCTGCATAAATCTGGAGTAAATCAGGAGTAAATAAGATACAGCTGTGGATTGTCATTGCTTGAAAGCAGCCTGCCACTGTTTAAAACTCCCTTTAATCCTTGCAGACCAGTAATGGAGGAGGGAGTTTAAGTGATTATTCCTCCTCTGTCCCATCAACTCCAAGCACCAGCCAGAAGGAGCTGCGGATTGATGTTCCTCCCACTGCCAACACTCCAACTCCTGTCCGTAAACAGTCCAAGCGCCGCTCCAACCTCTTCACGGTGAGTGAGTCAGCCAGGGGCTCTGCCACCCTGGGGACACTGAGCCAGGGGCTCTGCCACCGTGGGGACAGCCTCAGCCAGGGGCTCTGCTGCCCTGGGGACAGCCTCAGCACCTGCCACCCTGGGGACACTGAGCCTCAGTCCCAGCTGCCCTGGGGACAGCCTGAGCCTCAGCCAGGGGCTCTGCTGCCCTGGGGACACTGAGCCTCAGCCCCTGCCACCCTGGGGACACTGAGCCTCAGCCCCAGCTGCCCTGGGGACAGCCTGAGCCTCAGCCCCAGCTGTGGCTGCCCCTGGATCCCTGGCAGTGCCCAAGGCCAGGCTGGACAGGGCTTGGAGCAGCCTGGGATAGTGGAAGGTGTCCCTGCCCATGGCAGGGGTGGCACTGGGTGGGCTTTGAGGTCCTTCCCAAACCAAACTGTTCCATAACTACCCCATTCTACTTTTACTACTATATAGAATCAGTTCACTTTTTTCTTCTCCAGGGCTTAAAAAGATGATGGAGATTAAAGCAAATATTTTTCTTTCCAATCCTCCTGTTTTTTGCTTCACTGAGAGGCCAAAAAACCCAAAATTAAACAAAAATAATCAAATAGAAAGCTGCCTGGTGCAATTTGACAGGTCTTTGTTATGCAGAAGTAGTTTGGGAGATGCTAATGAAGTCCTGAGTGAAGGTTTCCTTGGTTTAAGCCTCTTGCTGAAACCTCTGGGATCTGTTGCAGGTGTAATTGTGGTTTGTAAGCAGTTTTTTGACAGGTCACACATGTCACAGCAAGCTCAGAATAGCTCTGGGCTCTCGTGTAACTCCCTTGGGGGTTGTAGCTACATGTTAGTTGTGTTTAGGAGCCCACAGCTTTCCTGTCAACATGGAGAATTTATATATTTTATTCCAAAGGTGATATCATGCTCACTTCCCACATACAAACCTGTAAAAACCATTTCCTGAGACTGAGGGAAATCTGAGCTCTCCACCTTCATCAAGTGGAGCATTTTGTCACCATTTTGGAGCTCTGAGTGACAGCACAGAGCCCCAGGGATCTGTGTCCCTCCCAACAGAGGTATTTTGATTTAAACCCAGATCTCCCAGTCCTGTGAAGGAGAGGAAATCAAGCATTTGTGTTTGGGTGCAAATGAGTGACCTGGGAAGAAGAGTCCCAGCTTTGACGCTGATATTTGATAACAGCTGTGCAGATTTCTTCCCATTGGTGGGAATAAGCTGGAGCTGGGTGGGAGAATTGCAGAGTTCCCAGCGCCACTAGATGTCAGTGTCAGCCCAGAAACCAGCAGCAGTCAGAGCTCGGGAAACAGGGCTGGATTGCTGCTGCATTCCCCTTAATCCATGGCTGGGCTGAAGGATGTGTGAGGGGCTGCCAGGGCTCTGCAGGTGCTCTTAGCATTTGGGAAACTGGGAATGGTTCAGTTTGGAGCAGCTGTAAATTTGAGAAAGGGAGGAGAGAAAAACAGACCCATCTACAGTCACAGGAAAGGCTGGAGAAGAATGTTAAGTCAGCTGTAAACAGGCTAAAGCTCTGGTTTGTGATAATTAGTGAGAGCCATATTTACTGACATGAGAGGGTGTTGATAGTTGTCTTGATGTCTGCTAACTGGGAAAAATAATAATAATTTGCCTTTGCAGATTTAGTTGTGTCTTTTAAGGTGGGTGTAGTGAGATTGTTTAATGAGTGGCCCTGTAATCTATGTCGTGAAGTACTTAACACCCACTCTGCTGTAACCCAGCTTCTGTGCCAAGTTACAACCTGGAATTATTTAATTGAATAAATAGATAACTACCCAGAAAATGCTGGTTATGAACACAGTGTGTAATTAAAGTATTTTACTGTTTAGCTCTGGGTTTCTTGCTGTGCTTCCCTTCCCAGTCACTTATGCCTTTATCTCTTACAGAATCAGATATATTTCTGTTTAATAATTGCAAATTACCCCTTGTTATCTAGCACAAGTAATCTGTTTAGTGATCTTTAGATATTCTGTTGTTGGAAGAGGACTGGGCTAAGTAGAAAAGATTTGATTCCTCTTAATTACAGTTTTTGAGTTGGAATAGGGATGAGAATTTTTAAACATGTTCAGTGCATTAAATGCAGTATCTCATCTTTTTACATTGAGTATTAATGTAAATTAATTGTTGTAAAGCTGTTGTTGCAGCAGCTGATTTTCCCCTTAAGTGATAAGATAGATGAAATATTAGAAGAGTTTATATCCTTTGTTTGAACAGTGTGATAACAGGGACCACCAAATAATCTTGTATAGGGCAGGTGAGGATTTGAAATGCATTTATGAGGTTCACTGAGCTGATTCTGACTATGTCTGATCCCACACTAGGTGAGGGAATTTCTGGCATAGAAAGGTGCATCACCTTTCCCACATTCAGAGTTACCTGTTTTACATATTTACAGAATTCCAAGGGAGTTTTTCAGACTTAAAATGAGCTCCATGTCTCAGTATCTACTGTTAAAGATGAGTATTTTATTTTTGGGGTGCTCAGCACTGCTGATCTGGGTCTGGTTGTGCCCAAACTCAGATGTGACATCTTGGCCCAAGTTTTATGTGCATTAAGTCTGTGAGTGACTCGCAGTGCAACGGGGAAATCACTCCAATGATATTTGTGCAGGTGCTTTCATTTTTCCAGACCTTTTTTGGTTTGCTGGAACCAAGTTTAAAATAGAACCATTTATTGTGTAGATGTGCCATCAGAAAAAGTCCTGGGAAGTGTTGCTCCAGCATGGTCTGGAGTGGATTTTTTTTCTGCTAGGATATAAGACGTATTGTGTGTGTCATAGGTACAAAAGCATAAAAGATCAGATTTCTGTTTCACTGCACAATTTATCTTTATAAATAGCGGAGCGCGCGAAGATTCTCCCCTGGAAAACGTTAGGGATTCTGTGACTGCGAGCAGCCAGAAGGGAATCTGCAGCTAGAAGGGAATTTGCCCAGCAGAAATCCCTACATTTCTGTACTTTTGGCATTTACCAGTGTTTTGCACGTAGGCATTTCCCTTCCACGTGCAGCCTGTGATTTCCAGCTGCAGTAACTTTTAGGGAATGGTGATGATTTAAAACCAGAAATGAAAAACAGCGCGTAGATATTCAGCCTGCATTTCAGAGGCAGGCTTCTTTCTCTAAAAAAAGTCAGATAAAAAAGAAACATTCAAGTTGACAACTCCCCTCCCAGGGATTTGGGCACCTTCACTGAGTTTCTTTACAATGTCACTTACGGGCGCCTTGCCCCATTTGAAGCTTTGTTTTGCCTCGTATTCTTGGGAAGTGGCACTTTCAGAGGCAGAAATCTGTCTTGAAGGACGAGGAACAATAGTTATCCTGCACGCTGGATTTCACCCCTCCCACTTGTTTTGCTTGCTTTCATTTGTTCTTTGTTTAATTCCCCGGCACGCCATTCCATTGCCCCCAACCATAGTAACTGGCCATCGCAGCCCGTTCCCGGCAGCGCGGCATCCCCGCTGTGCGAATGTGCTGCTCTTACTCGCACTCCTCCCTCCCCTCACTCCCCAGGGCAGCTGCTCCTGGGTTTTATCCTTCCTCCCACCCCTTTGTGGCATGGGGGAAAGGGGCATTAGCGATCCATGCTCCTGCTTCTCTCCTGATTTCGGCATCTCTTCCCGCCGCAGCGGGCTCTGGCGTGGCCGCGGTTTGAAAAGCACGCGGAACTGTTTTCCCATTTCCCATATTGTGTGAGTAATGTTCCCATTGGAAAGTAATGGAGTGAAGTTGTCACTTGTCAGCGCAGTTATTAAGGAGGATGACTCTCAGGTCTTCTTTTTGTAATAAAATAAATCCGTCAAAATCACCGCTGCGCCCGTGCGTTCTGTCGCAATAACGGGCTGCGATCTGAATAACTTCTTCACATTCCCATAGAACTTGATCAAGTCATGAAGGGAGTGCTGTGACCTCACTCCTTCCAGCCTTGGAGGAAGCCAGGATAAAGCAACTCGGGTTTTAGACACTGGTAAAATTCTCCTCATGCTAATTTTTCCACACTGTGTTCAGATAACTTTTTCCAGTCATTGGCTTTTCTCACAGTTGCAACTTTCTGACTGTCCCAAAGCAGAAAAAAAATAGTAAGTTGTAGTCCATATGGTCAAATCCAGCATTATAAAATCATATTTTTAAATAGTTGCTGACATTTTTAAGAGCCACACAGGTGTGAATTAAATGTATGCATGGCTATATTAAATTTTTTTAATGAGGAGATGGCACATTCATTCCCCTTTGGAGCTGCTGTTGGAAACTTCAGAAACGTGTCCTCTGATGTTATGGGTCTTCAGGCAGAGAAACTGAAACTCTTTAAACGCAAATGCACTTCAAGCTAGTGGATGGTTGAAATTTATGGGTGATGGATGGAAAATTTATTCATTTTTAGGATGGTTGTGTACTTGTGTAGATTCGATTTTGAGCCTATATCTACCTGCCAAAGTATTTTTTAATTGCACCGAAAGAAAAAAAGTCAAATAAAAGCATCCTCTGTGTGCATTTAATAGAGCACAAACTTTTCTTTTCGCTCTGCAGTCTCGGAAAGGGAGTGACCCAGACAAAGAGAAGAAGGTCCTGGAGAGCAGAACAGACAGCATTGGAAGCGGCCGTGCAATCCCAATTAAACAGGTAATGCCGAAATAGTTGTATTTTTTTTTTCCTCTTCCCTGCTTTCCATAGTTGGGAGACAAGACACACACCTCGGGTCCGGGCACGGCGGTGGCGGGGCCGAGCGCCCGAGCGGCGTTTGATGTGCGCTGGTGATGAATGTGGAAGTCACTCACTTGACATCAATTAGGAGAGGTTCCTATGTGTATTAAAATAGGATCATTAGAATAAGAAGAGGGAAAATGTGACAACAGGCCTAATGAAGTGCAGTCTGCCGGCCTGCATATGGAGCGGGTTTCTAGGCTGTGCTGGCTTCAAAGCTGCCTTTGTAGAGGGGGCTTTGATTGGGCCGAGTGCTGCCAGGCGCAGGGTAAATCAGATCGCTCGACAAGAGCCCCTTGTGATGGCAGGAATAGCCTGATGTGGCCCTAATTTGCTACCACAGACGGACATCTGAACACAGTTTCAGGCTGCTCCCTAACAACGAGGCAATTAGTTGTGATAATCATGGCCGGTGTGTCAGCTGCGCGCTCTTGTTTGTAATTTGCTAATGAAGGAATTGTAACTTTGATTAGGTTCAGTTTCATTTAGACCTTATTATATAAGAGAACGTTTACAGCTGTAATGTGTGGCCTTAATTAAACTTTCTCATTACACAACAGGACTTGAAGCCGAGGATTTGTTTTGGTCTGTTTTTACTAGCCTAGATGCACTTTCATTAGCCTGGAAACTCGATGCTAAATTGTAGCTGGGAACACTCCTTTGAAAGGCAAAAGCAGTGCCAGCCTTGGATGGGAAGTGTTTGGGGAATGAGATGATTTACTTGCTCAAATGAAATGGCACTGGATCCATGTGGTTGAGATCTCCACATTCCCATGGAATGCTTCTCACACAGTTTCTCTGTCAGTGTTTCCAAGTGTTTACTCACATGTTAGAGTTGCCTTGCTAGAGATAAGCTCCCTTTCTTTTCCACTTATTTTCTTTCCAGTTGTTTTCATGCCTTTCCTGCCCTCCAGAGGCTCACTGGCCTCTCCTGATCTTCCCTCAGCCTGTGCCTTATCTGCCAGGTAGCCCTGGATGTCCTGTGTGGAGCTGGGTTTGCATATTTTGGGGTGTTTTGTGGTTTTCCTCTGTTTCTGGGTGTGAGGAGGAGTAGATTTTGTTCCCTTAACTATTAGCTGTGATTCTTCTTCCTAAAGTCGTTCTGAAAGACCTTTTGGGACCATCAGGCAGCAAAAATGCTGTGGTGTGTGAATCTCTAGTAGGCAAATTTTAATCAAGCACGCTGCAATCCAGAAGAGCAGTTTGAAAGCAGAGGAGTTCAGTATTTGGCTCTGCATTCAGGGGAGGAGATTCCAGGCATTTAAAGCAAGCTGCAATTTTATTTTCCTACAGCTTTTGTATGGTACAGGATGGGTTAGACCGGCTGCAATCCTTTTGGGTAATGCTAATTAAACAAAAGTGCAGCTGAGAATGTAAAACTGAGGAATAGATGTGCCAGTGTTTATTCCAGGCATACGTACTGTTCTTTCCTAAAATGCTGTTGTATGGAATCAATTTGACTAAAAATACACTCATAGGAAGAGCATTGTAAGGTAAACATTGTGAGTGTGATTGTGCCACAGCGTGTTGTAAAGAAATATCCCTTACAATATCTGGAATTTCTGTATGGAAAAGCTCTCCTTGCAGCCTGCTTGTGTACCAAATATGACCAATCTTTTGGGAACGTGTCCTCCTTGTTACTAAGCCCAAGTATGGTAATTTCATTTTGTCACCTACAGGCCATTACCCACAAACCCTTGATGTGCATCCTCAGCAGGTCCATCCTGTTCTTTGGGGTGGGAGTTGGGAGGTTTTTGCAGTGCTGCAGGGGTGGCTGCTCCCAGTGGGATTTCACATCACTCTTAGGTGTCAGGAGGAGAGATTTTGGAGGTCTGGTCAGTAGGGGTGGCTCCAGGTTCAGTTGCTGATACAGTCCCACGTTCTTGGGGGCTCGACAGGTGCCAGGTGCTTGGAGCTTGATGAGTTTGTGAGGTCCCCAGGAGGAGGTGAGAGATGAGGAATCTGACTCCATGTTCTCAGAAGGCTGATTTATTATTTTATGATATTATATCACAGAATGCTATACGAAAACTCTACTAAAGAAAGAGAAAGGATACACACAGAAGGCTTAGCAAGAATGAATAATAAAAACTGGTGACTGACTCCTCAGAGTCTGATACTGAGGTGATTGGTCAAAAACAATTGGTCAAAACAATTCACATGGAACCAATCAAACATTCACCTGTTGGTCAACAATGTCCAGACCACATTCCAAAGCAGCAAACACAGGAGCAGCAATCAGATAATTACTGCTTTCATTCCTCTCTGAGGCTTCTCAGCTTCCCAGGAGAAGAAATCCTGGCAAAGGGATTTTTCAGAAAATGTGGCAGTGGCAGGAGCTCTCTGAGGCAGAGGAAATTCCTGCTGGGAAAGTTGGTGCCTTTTATTTCATGCCTTAACTGGGAATAAGACAGATGTGGAAGGGAGCTTCTGGGCCTAAAAATCTTTGTGGTGCTGTTCTTCTTAAGATGAGAAACCCCTTCCATCATGATGTTTTCTGTGGCAAATGGAGTCACAGAGCCATAAAGGTTGGTAAAGCCCTATAAGATCACCAAGTCCAGTGTTGAAACAAGCACTGCCAAGGCCATCCTTAACCCATGTACCCAAGCACCACATCCTCATGGATTTTAAATCCACTGCCCTGGGCAGCTCTGTGAAAAAATTTTTCCAAACAGCCAACCTGAACCTTCTCTAGTGCAACTTGAGGCTGTTTCTTCTTGTCCTGTCTCTTGTTGCTTGGGATACTTGGGATAGAAGCAGAAATCTGATTTCAGGCTGCAGCATTACCAGAAGAGAATGCTGTGGGAGAACAAAACTAAACAATAACAACAACAACAAAAGCTTTACCAAAAAAACCCAAGCAACCAACCAAACCAAACCACACCCCACAAACAAATGATAAAACCTCCAGCCAAAACAAGTTCCTTGGAGGCTGGAAATGTTCTGGTTTTGAGGAAAAAATGGAATCTGTCCCAGCACTATGGAAGAGTTGCTGATCATTCTGGGCCCCAGGGATGGACCTGCACAGCTGCCAGTGGGTTTGGGTCAAAAGAAGGCAGGAGTTGCAATCTGCTCCTGCATTCCTGTTCTTGGTGCCTGAATCCCTGTGGGTTTGAGGGAAATCCCTGAGAGTTTGGGAGAATTTGGATGGAGCAACCTGGTCTAGGGGAAGGTGTCCCTGCCCATGGCAGGGTGTTGGAATGAGATGGGCTGTAAAGGCCATTCCAACCCAAACCATTCCAGGATTCCATTAAGGAGGTAAAGTTGTGAATAGCCTGTTTCCTTCCAAGGAAACACCTCATTCCTCCAGGGCTTTATCCTTAACTCAGAGCAGCCTGGTCAAAAAGAGTTAATGTTCTTATTCTCTGTGTCCTTTCTACGTGGTAAAGCTGATTTTTCACTGCAGTGCTAAATTTGGTTTTATTGGGCTAAGCCATATAAAACTGTCCTGATGACCCTTACTGCTCCCAACAAAAATCCAAAATGTAGGCAATGAAAAACAGGCTTGTTTCTAAAGGGTGCCTGCTTGCTCCTGCCAAAATATTCTTATAGTGAGTGAAATTTTGGGAAGGCAGATTTCCTGGGGAGGTACCAGTTTTGTGCATGCACAGCCACATCAGCATGTCTTAAATCCTGGACTTTTAGCAGCTGCTGAGAACTGGGAATGTCAGAAATTTTTTAAAATTATACAAAATTTCACTTGTGTGCTATTTAAAAATATTGTGCAAATCAGAGTCAGAAAAGGAGCAATCAGAGAAATCAGAAAAAGAGAAATCAGAGCAATATTGGCTTCAAGTTAAAATCCACAGGAAGTTCTGTACTTCTGAGAAAGAGGTGCTTAAACTAAGAATATTTAAGCTATTTTCTGTAGCATTGCTAATAAGACTCTTAAAGTGAGTGGCTTGCTATGGTTGGAGAATCCTCCTTCCAAACCCATTTAGTCTGGAAAAGAAATCTTGTTCCTGGTAGCCTGGGTGAATTTTTTGAAGAATATTTTGAAGCACACATTGGGCTGCCCACTTTTGAGGAATTGACTTTCTGGGATGGGAGGTTTTGTAGCGTTTTGGGAAAATTACTTTGGTTTTTGTGGGTTTGGGAAATCTTTATCAGTAGGGCATATTCAAATTAAAAAAAAATGCACACAACAAGAAAAATAAAAGCAAGAAGCTCAGCTCAGCGGTGAGGGGGCTTGTCATGTATTAATTTTTCATTGCTGTGGAGAATTGTACATACATAATCACTTGATTGCAGTGGGAGTTAGCGAGCTCCTATGGTGTCATTTGCATAAATCTTGTTAAGTCAATGGCAGTTAATGAAGTACAAATGAGCCTGGAGAAGGTGACATGCAAATCGTGGGTGGCAGATGGGAGGTCTGTTTTTGGGATGGCAGCTGTGTGCTCTTTCTTTTTTTTTTTTTTTTTTTTCTTTTTTTTTTTTTAATTTTTATTATTTTTTTTCCTCTGTCCTGCCCCCATTCCCCCCCCCAGGCTGGAGTATAAATAAATACGTAAGAGCTGGCCTTGACTTTCTGCTCCCAGCCCTTCTTCTCTTTGCCCTTTGCACTTAATCACAGATGCTCACATCATTATATACTCCAGCCATATAACCTTGGCTGTTCTTTTACCAAAAACTGGCCAAAATCAGTGTTTGCCACGTTGCCTCCACCCTTGGCTTACTCTGGGAGGTGCTGCCCCTTTCATGCCCCCAAATTGGTGCATCATTTAGGGATGACAAACTGGAAGCCTGGATTAGAAATAAATGTTCTAATGGTTAGTGCTGTATTGATGACACAGGGAAAAATTTGCCATCCATGACTTGCAAAGGTGAACTTCAGAATCCATTCCCTTCCCTCAGTTTGCAGATGGCTGGATTAATGGAGAAAGTGGAATATCTTATTCAGGCTTTACTTTTAGGTGATA